GGCTGCCACCCCTGGCCCCCCAGACACCTCCAGTCCTATCCAAACACGCAGCATCTGTTCTGGGTTCAAAGAGCTGCTCTGGCAGCTCCCTGCAGCCGGGCTCAGAGTCGCACACATGCCTGTGCCATGGTCCATCTCCCCAGGGACACAGGAGCTGGCAGCCATCCTGCCCACAGCCCAGCAGTGCTGAGGATCACCCTGGACCCAGCACAAAATCCACACCAGGGCAAGCACTTGTCCTGAGGAGACACAGCTGCTGGTTCCAAAATAATCTTGGCTGCTGGCTTTCAGCACCCTCCTTCATGCTCAGCTCTACCCCCTTGTCACCTCTCCTCTTATTTATAGCCTGGCAGAGGAGTGGGATGCCAGCAGCTCTGCAACCAGCTGCCACCCCCGTCCCCACGTCCCACAGCCGCACAGGGCACAGCACAGGGCACCACTGAGTTAAAAACACTTTTAATGGCCATGTTTGCTTTGGTCTGAATCCAAGGGCACTTGTGAACAGGGCAGCTTGGAGCCCCCAGGCTTCCCAGCTGGGGAGATGCAGGGGACTGCAGGGACCTGCCCAGGCACGGAGCAGCGGAAGGCAGCAGGAAGGGGGGGCAGGCTGGACCTTGCACCCTGCGCCCCACATCCAATACTGGGTCTCAGGGTGCAAGTGGGGCAAGTACCGTGGCGGAGCTTCATCCCTGGGAGGGGCACCAGCTCCTCACCAAGGCAGGGCTGAGCTCTCCCATCCCATGCAAATGTTTAATCCCACATTAAATATCTGCGTAGAGCAGGTGAAAAACCTTTGTGGCCACCCTGGGCCAATGCAGGAAGGTGTTCGGAGTCCACAAGGCTCCATGGGTCCAGCTCATGTCCCTGTGCATCAATATGGGAGGGTCCCAGCCCACCCACTGGCTGGGGGAACCGGCCCTGCCACTGTGGAGATGGAGATTCCCTGCTCTGGGGCTTGGCAAAAGGCAGAGCTGAGACACATCACTGCAGGACGAAAGCCACCCTGTTGTTGGGGTCCCCACAATCTGGCCCCATGGCTGGTGCCCTCCCCGCCTGTCCAGGATGGGTGGGTGAAGATGATGTTCCTCCTCTTGGCCCAGCGGGAGAAGATGGCTTTCTCAGTGATGAAACGGTGGCCGGCGCGGTGGGCTCGCTCGTGCATCAGGTACATCCTGCACTCGTCCAGCCGGCCCTTCTCGAAGTAGTGGTAGGGCACACTCGAGTGGTTCTTCTCCCTGGCAGGAGGGAACAGGGCAGGTGTGGGACTCGGAGGGGGACACTGGACCACCCCATGCCCATCACTGCCACCCCTGCACACCTGCAGTAGCTGTCGCTGACCATGCCGAAGACGCGGATCTGCTCGCACAGCTCCATGGCCAGGATCATGGTGAACCAGCCCGTGCTCAGGAAGGAGCCGGACTTAATCCTGCAAAGCACCGTGACTGCACTGGGGTGGGTGGCACGGGGCTGCCATCCCACCAGGGCTACGGGTGCCCAGCGAGGGAATGGGACCCAATGGGAGCTGACAGTACCTGTTCTTCCCGGTCTCGTTCTGGAAGACATCATCACAATAGGCCATCTTCTCCTCGGTCAGGGTGTAGATCTGCAGATGAGGATACGTCTCCATCACCTTCAGCAGTGCCTTGTAGGTCGTGCCCACCTTCTCCCGGTTCATCTTCTTCGCCGGTCCCCAGATGACATAGAGGGTCTCCTGGGACTGCTGGAAGAAGTAGGGCTGGTTCCTCAGCAGCAGTGGGACACTGGTGTGTGACACCACCCGGATGGTGCTCTGTGCCCCCACGTCCTCCTCGTAGCCGGCGGTGGGTGCATGGTTCATGCGCAGGACGCAATCCTGCCTGTCGATGGCCTGGCCCAGGTGTGAACCCAGCATCTGCCCTGAGCTGGAGACGATGGCGCAGTGGTGGCACAGTGCTCGCTCCAGCGGCTGTGGGGAGATCGTCAGATCGGCAGCACCAGACACATCACAGCCCCGTCCGCCCTTCCCTAAGGAAGGGGAAACTGAGGCACGGGCAGGTTGAGCTGCCCCACAGCTGCCCCATCCCCACACACCTTCCCATCGGGGACACGGCTGTACCCCTGGAAGCTGAGGATGGTTGGCACCTTGGGGCTGCGCTGCTCCCCTGGGGCCCAGCAACAGGGCCGCAGGCAGGCGTGGGAGCACAGCAGGACGTACAGCACCGTGACCACGCCAGCATTATGAAGAACCGGACCTGGAAGCAGAGTGGGGAGGTCTTTCCGGGTCTGGCCATGTGCAGCGGCCCCATGTCAGACGCCGGTGGCTCTGGGGGGCTGTGTAGCATGAGCTCCCCTCGGAGCAGGGTGCTGGAGTGCATTGGCTGGGGTGCAGTGGGAGCTGCACTGGGGAGCGTTGGGTGTCTGCATCTCGCACACTTCCTGCAGGCCTCCGCGCTGTACGGCCTCACTCACGGGGCTGGGACTCAGTGCTGCCTGTGGGGATCCAGCACCGCTTTTGGACTGAGTGGCCCCTCT